CATCCGATTTAGTTCATCTGAAAAGAGGCTATCGTGAGCCAGTGGAGCTTTACCCACCGCACAAGCCTGTCATATTAGAGGTCAAATTCGCATCGTGCAACCCCTCCCTCCAGTGACTGAAGATCGTGATTCCGAGATGAAAACACTTTTTACAAGTGTTAATGTAGATTAGCTTAGCTTCTTATATTACGCTAGTTAAACACTAATAACTTTGGATAGTTCGAATCGTGATTAAATGAGGAGAACAATATCCATGGTTAAAAATTCCCAATACCAACTGAATTCCAACTTCATCCAGTTGGCTATATTTTGTTTTAATAAGAAGTGCTTCAAAAATCTAGTTCCAATATTAGTTGCTTTTCTAAAGCATTAGATCATAGATCCACTTTTTGGACCTCTGGCTGAATGTGTAGCCTTTCTGCTTGCTCTCGAACTCAACCCTACTTCAGGCCAGGAAGTGAGCCAAGACCAGTTAAAAAATAGGATTATTGTGAATAAAGAATAATGACGATAGCTGATATGGAAGTAACAGAATGGATAAGAAGCAACACCTTGATTTCATGGGAAGGTGTTCGAGATATGAGCTTCGCAGGAACCTCGCAAAAAATCGTCTAATGTTTATAAATTTGCTTAATCGTGTCGTGATCACCGGAATTCCAATTCCAATAACTACGTGTGAGCAGAAAAATAATCGGCATTTACAAACTGCAATTCTGGCGGCTAGAAAACTGTTGCAGTGATTAATTCAGAATTGAATACCTCCAAAGGCATTGACTTGCAGACTTACACGAATTGATTCACCACATCTTTCAATGACGTGTGTGCGGACGCAATTAATCTCGAATCATATCCACCACAAAAAATGTATAATATAATTCATGTACTTCCTTTCCCAGAGTACATTCTCTCCACCTTCTAGTTTCTCATAGCTTTAATATTACTTCAAAATAAAATATGGCCAGCACTTAGGAAGGTGCGACTGTCCGTGTTGCTGACTGCAAGAAATCGTCAAGCTTCGGTTCTTCCTGATATTTCAACAGAATGTTAGAATTAAAAAAATATTCAATTAATCTAAGGCGTAATTAACATTTATTGACATTAAGCAAGATTTTCATAATCAGAGAAATCGACCGGGAGAAGAATTAAGAATCTTAATCATTCATCTTTCTTTACCGAGACTTGGGAGGAAGGAAAAGTAATTTTTATTTACACAAAAAGTAAGAGGTCAAGTTGAGATCGAGAAGGGTGATTCAATAGAGACCGGAATCCTGTTGAAGAAGGAAAAAAGCGTTGCTGTCATCTCCCCGTCTGTTACTCGCGGTGGTATCAGTTGGTCTGCAATGACCCCAGAGATCAAAAGCCGTTACAGCAGGTGTAGCCGTGGGGGGCAACTGGAAGCACCCAGAAGTTGCGGAAAAGGTGGAGGAAGATCCAGATGATTTCCACGCAGAAGAATTTGATAAAGTGGAGGATGTGCCAGATGAACTCAAAGAGGAGCCTGTAGGACAATAGCTCGAAAACTCGTATTCACTAGCACCGGCTGCTCCCCGAGAACGATCATAAGGGCGATGGGAATTTGGTTTCGTCGAGGTCGCAAGTCGATGAACCTAAAAAGGGAATTAATAGTGTTACAAGTGATCACAGGCAGAAATTAAGACCTTTCTTCTGTTAAATAGCATAAATATTAACCTGGCAAAGTGGGAAACTAAATAAAATGGTCGATGGACCGATGTGAGCAATATTAGGGTTTTGGTGGATAGGCTAGAATCGAAGACTTTTAGCGTTCGAACCCCAAAATCGCTATGTGATCTGCATTTTAATTTCCTTGCAAAATGGGGTTAATTATTTCCTAACAACGCTATACTGAAATTCCAGGTGGTAGTTTTTTAAAATGATTTCATAACCAATCATTTTCCATGGCTTTTGAAATAGCAGACCATTTGGGACTAAAGTCAAGCGGTTTGTAGACTGCAGAGAGTTCTATGACAGTCCGTTCGCCAGTGTCTCCTCATCTCACACGGGTTTGAAGAGTCTACACAGACTAAGTCTCTTTTCCCGCACTTTATTTGTGATAAGTGTTCCATTAAACACTGGGGAGATTCTATATCAGGACCCTGTTTCCAATCAAAATTAATTTGCAATCATTTAACTTGGAGATAGACAATAGTATATGAAAGTTGCAGGCTGTTTTATTCAAGAAAAAAAATAAAAAAAGCTTTAGGCTTCAAGTAGATGGGATAAAATTTTAAATTGATAGTAAAGATCAGCGTTTTTGGCCAAAATACAAGGGGAATAGAAGTTGAGAGAGAATGGAAGAATGGCGCTGGAATACATTACCAGAGGTGAGGAGTGCCCAAATGTAGGCAGAACATGCACGAAAAAGTTTGAGTTAATGATTTTCGTCACAAGAAAATAATGACTTCACTATGAAATGAAACTGATAACAAGTCAACAAACGTTAGTTTTTGTCTCTTATTGGGCTATTTTACACGCCTTTTCATCCTTTATGCAATATAAAAAGATAGACGGATTATTACCATTATGGTTGTTAAATAAGCCCTCAAGTCCCTTTCATTCTAACGAAATGGGCATCTTCAAACATTGTCCAGCATAATTAGCGTGGAAAGAATATTATGGGACATTATTTAAAACACAAACGGCCTACTGATTTCCATGACCTTATAATAGTAAGTGTTGAGTGTCTGGTTATATCTTCCCACTAGTTGACCTGAAAGAATGAGGCTACCTCCAAATGCCTGATAATGAGAAAAAAGTTAAATTACAAATTCTCTAATTACATAAGGCTCTTAGACAAATTGGTCAGTTTTAAATTTGAAAACAAAATGAGAATTTAGAATTTACTTGACTAGAGTAAAAAGATGTATAAATATACATTATCAAATTAAATGTTTTTGATATGATTACAAAGAGCTAACATGAATAGTATTTGGGCTTGGACACGGCAAACACGAATCAACAACATACAGCTTTCGTGCAATAGATACTACATCCCTCACAGATGGACTTCATGTCCGAATGTCATATATGAGCACACTTAAAATAGGATTTTCATTGTTCTAGCTAGAAAATTTGCCTTTGGCGGACTATGAAGTGCCCCATAATATGCTTTATAGTGAAATTTCTGCATTTCACAAGCATGTTAGAAATAGGGTCACAACTTAAATAACACAAACAGCGTGGACCTGTCGGATAAGTCGAACCCAAGATAAAGGATTGGGGGTCATGTCTTCATTATACCCATAAACTGGCCTTTTCTGTGAGCTGTCTCCTGTGGCGCCTGTTTGCGTGAGTTGCAGGGAAGGTACAAGGTATACCATAAAGGCTACAGCTTAAAGTTGAACATAAACGAGAATTTCGTACGTTTGAAAACAAGGCTCAAAGCCGAAATATTATTTTTTGCCATTGGATGAGTACTTCATTCATCATCCTTATGAATATGCAGATTTAGACTTCTCAATCTTTTAAAATAACAAAATAATTAAAATCATTGATGTTCCCTTTAAACCGTGTTTGATTGAGCATGGTACTTCAACCAAGATAGTAATGACATACTTTAGACTCCTCATTCCGTTTCATACTTAATTATTCCTATATTCAGATTATTAATGTAACTAAAGCTTTTAAAAAAACGAAATTACTATTTATAATGACCATTTTTCAAAATAATTAATAGAAACGTTTTCCAAATATAGACATTTTTAACATTCTGCTGCTATGAATGATGAGACGCCGCTTACACTAGTAGGAGGAAACAGAGAGCTAGCAGAATATACTCTGCGTCGTCTACATTGTCTCTGACATTTGTCCTTCTGCTCTTCTTCTAGGTCCTCTTCGGAGAGAAAAATGCCGGAGAGAGGCAAATCGAAAATAATTCCACCATTTCCCAAACCACCGTATTGTTCCACAGAAGTTGCCGGGGGCAGAATTCGGAGACGTCGGGCAAGACGTGGCGTCAGACGCCGTCGGCAACGAAGAGAGTCTCCATCCGTGGAAGGGAGTGCAACGACATCTCCAAGGGTCAAGAGGTCGAAGTAGTATCGTGCGTAGACGGCCGGAGGAATTCCTGTGTTGAATTGCAAGAGGCTCAGTGTATGCCGCTCCAAATCGTTCCTAAAATTACAAGATGCATTTACCCAATAAAACGAAAAAACTGACCTTCCTGTTAGCCCAAAAAACTGCCTGGCTCTGCTGTGAATTTCGCTTCATCATAAAGCCAATCGCGTAGAAAGCAATTTGGTGCTGTACAATAAACTCGTTCTAGATAGCAAAACTTAATTTGATGAAGAAATAGTAACTGATCTGTTTATTAGCATCCTACTCCATGCTATTGACTCTACAGCCAATCTGCCTAAGTCTTATTGCAAATGAAGAAAGTGTGGTCCAAATAGGTGTTCAACTAGGAGGGACATATGGGCAAGACTATAGCATATACTAAATGAGAACCAAAGAGTAAAAAAAAACGGCAGAAATAGTAAAAGAAAATGACCTCTTTGTTTTATGAACACAATGAAGCGATTTAACCAATGGCTTTCGAACTAGTGTCAACAAGGTTGTTGGCTTATCTACAATAGGTACAAAAGTATTCTCATGTTGCCAACACCTTCGACTCTAATTGTGAACGAAATTAAAATTTACGTAACCCCCCCCCCCCAAACAGCAGGAAAGAATTTTAATCAATCCATTTTAATTACAGGTCATGCATTTTTATAAGCACCCAACAAATATTTGAAAGCCCAATAATGATGTGGCCAATAAAAAACAAGATACATAGAATCCCCGAGAAAAGAGGCATTTTCTAGAGAGAAGCAGACGAAAATGAAATAGCAAAATAAAAAGTAAAGAGAATTAAATATGCACTTGATTTAGGGATAAAAATCAGAGACAGAATTAAAAGAAATGTAAATATCGGTACATACAACTAACGTGGGTAAAATAAAAATAACGAAGTGAGAATGCCTTAAATAGGCAGGCCAATGACTGAATACACCTTGAAATTGATTGTGACCCCTCATCTTATGCCAGGAATGAAGTAGGGAAGGTTGTTACAATAGGCAACTGAGTTAAAATTAGTAAATTTTTTTATAGGGACAAAGTTACAGTGAAAGCAAATAGACTAAAAATAGTGGCAGAGAATAACAGTAGATGGGTAAGCAACATAAATAAAAAGTTGAAGGAATTGAATAACCCGAAATGAATTTGGCGGTTTTATGGAATTAATCAAAACAACTATGTTAAGTGTGCGACTAACTACACGTAGCAAAAGTGTACTAGGTTTATGATTAACATATCAAGATAAAATTGTGAAGTAAGACAATTAGAAAATTTCACAAATATTAGCCAAGCTTCTGCCTTTTCTACAGAAAATTAGAAGTAAATAATACTGAAGGATACCAATTATTACTCAGTAAGACAATTCTGTTTGAGATAAAAATCGATAAACTGAATCCAGGTATGCGAGCTAAATAGTTGTTTTTCTTAGATGAATTCAAATCCCGGAGGAAAAATAGAACTGATTCATAGTCATTTACCAGAAAAATTGAATCAACTAAGCATCTTATAGGACTGGCGAATAGAAAGAAATCATGAGGTACACTTTCCGAACCACGCAGACCAACAAAGGGGGGGGGGGTGGGATACATTCAACAATAACGTCAAGAGATGATAATGAACATTTCGGCACTTTGTACAACGAATAATCCCATAAAGTTTGAGAGAACGTAATTGAAGTCCTTTCTCAAATGTAACATCGCCAAAGGATTAAGTTAAACTAAGAATTAAGAGAAAACAGTATAGCCAAATAAGGCATGTATTAGTAAAATTGACAAAAAGCGAATTCCAGTGGGAAATAAAGGTAATTCTTGTTTTTATAAAAAAATTTTTAAAGAAATCGCACATTCATTATGAGGTAAATTAGTTTGAAGACAAGTAGAGCTACATTTATCATCTGAATGATTCCAAGATATGGTGATTGAGATGATTTATAGGAGCTATGACTAAGAACCATAAGCTAATACCAAACAACCACGTTACCAATGATCCAGAAGATAGTCAGTGGTAAGGTTTGATTTATTGAGAAGCACCAAGTAAGAATGAAGTTATCTAAAAGGTAGAGAGTGGAAGAACTCGAACGAATAAATGGAATAAGAGGTGAAGGGATGTGAAAAGACCACAAGAACTGAACGTCTACACTTTACCTCATGTAGAAAATGGGTTCATTGATTTTAGAGGCAGCAAAAAAGACACAAAAGGCGAACTCTTTACGTAAATATAATTGTTGAGGTTGACAGTGATGTATTAGAAGGCAAGAAAAATTGGTTAAGCGTCTGCACAGGGTACGCAAAAATGGTAATATGAGTAAGGTCAAAAAAGCATTAAAGGAGGATGCATGATCCCGAGACCAGATTATATCACAATATCGATGACTTTGTAGATTAGTAAACTGAAAAAAACTGCACTTTCTGGAATTTTACAACAGGCAGAAACTTAGTTAAACGATATTGATCATCTAGCTCAAAGAGGAGAGACAACACGTGTCTGCACGTGCAATTTAATTCAAATTCCATCAAAAAATCAAATAAGCCATTTTTCTAAGTGAGTGTCCTCGCTCGCGAACCATGGGTACAACTTACTCTAAATGTTGGCGATTTCGCTCGAAAAATGGAGAGAGTAGAAATTATCTCGGCAAGATTAATTCATCTGAAGCTTTTCTTGAGGAAGCAATAGTTGATCAAGGCGGAAACGAACATTCAGACGTAAATAGCATTTTCCAAAGTAAAACTCTGTTTCATTATGAATCACCAGGTTACTCACCGATATTTGTAAATGTCCTACAAAACAGCAAATTAGCCAGAAATGATAGAACAATGCAGCATGTCTCAAGATTCTACCATCTTTCGGAGGATCCTGCACCGGAAAACACAAAATCCTACAGGAAAACAAACTTCCGAAGCAGGTCTTCAAGCGCGTTTCTACAACATGATATGCATGATAGAACTCAACATCACCCCAGACCAAAGCCGTACTTGCCAATTTTCCCTTACAACTATGGAGTGCGAATGGTAAAAGAAATATTAACCAAAGCAGTAGAAAATAGTGAGACAATAAATAAAACAAATCCAACAATGAAAATCTACAATATCACATACAAGGATGACAAAGAAAATAATGTTGAAGGTCAGCAGATACAAGCATCAGCTTATAAAACTTATCCTGCCAAAAGTCTGCTGGAAAGATCGATTAGAAAGCGCAGAGTACGAACACTTTCAAGAACAATGCCCCGTTCATTATCTATCAAGAAACAAACAAAAGCAACAAAGATTCAAGAAAAGTCGAAAGTAAGTCATCGAAACCAGGCTTTTATTATCGCTGCCAAGACTATAGTTTCAAACCGAGACCGATCAAAAGGTAATACGACAAGACCTTCAAGGACAAAACCTAGTACAGAAACTATCAGAAAACAAAAGCCAGTGGCAAAAAGTCATCAAGCAGAGACGTCATCACATGTCATTTCTATTGACACAAAACAGATTAGAAGTGGCTACTCGAAAAGACAGTTAGAAAATGAAAGGACTAATTCCATTGAAACTCCATCATCAACAACAATCATGACTTCGAAATGTATGGCTAAGATTCCTCGACACACGACCCACGCTCCTTACAAAGTTCGCCTTTTTTTAAAGGAGTATGAAACAATTGATAATCTAGTTACCGATCCAGATGATCAGAGAATTGAAATCATTTGTGATCGCCACATGTGTAAGTTAGATATCTATGATAAAAGAGAAATCGCTGGCTATCTGATATACACTATTGACATTGAATGTGAAACTATGGCATGGCTGAAGGAATGCATTCAGGATTTAGACGCTGTCTTCGGTCTGAAAATTTACTGGCAGTTTTATGCTGCATTAGAGAGAAAGTACCTTTCATGATTACAGTTTATTCAACAATACTGATACCGTTTCAAATACAAACGCATGTTAAAAAGACCACCATTTTATTCTAATCCCCTTATAGGCCTGTTAAGTGGGAGTTATTTATTGACAATGATCGATTATTTGTTGGCCAAACGCTGAAATGGATTTTTAAGAGGCTCAACGAATATCCGTTTGATTGTAAAATAGATAACCAATTGAAACACAAATGCACATCATGTGTGCTTTATGTGAATTTTCAAACGCGGATACTAAAATTAGAATTTATTTATTTATTATTATTATTAGTTTAGAGGCAAAAAAACTAGATGTAAAGATTATAGACCATCAATACACCAAATTATTGGGGCAACACCTCATTTCCAAATTTAATGCTATCTTTGACTATACAAATGGCCCATTCCCCTCAGAACACCTAATAGGTCTAACAAAATAGAGAAATAGATGATTCTACACTATTCAAATGTAGCATATCTTGTCAATACTGACCGCCAGGACTCCTAAGATTTGACCACCTTTTCGTTCCTTTCTAAAAATTAACGAAACAATAAAACACTTAATAGGTTTAACAAACAGAAAAAATATTACAGTTTCTACCTTAAAAGGGGAGATTTCGCAGGAACCTAAATTAAGATGGGCGCCTCTTTGTCCCTTGGAACTAAGGTATACAGTTCTTCTACCTTAAGTGTAGAAAATGTTCAAGCTTTAGAATTCAATTTTGATATCATTTGCACTTATGCAGATGCATGGTACTTATGTAGCGGAAGCTGAAATTTAGAATTTCTATATTCTACCTCTTCAAAGATTTAACTAATCGCGTGAATTTTTGTGGTCAATTTTAGTCAATATCTTAAGATGTGCACATCCACAGAATTAAGTGATGGAGAATATTTAATAACTCTAACTGTAGCATTTCCGGTGAAATACAAAGATTATGATCCTCAAAAGGTTAAAGTTTTTCATGGAAGCACAAAAAAAGCTAACGATTTAGTTTTGAAACTATTAAAGAAAAGACTGAGATGGTTTTCGGATTTTTAAGAACGGTATCTTTTACTTTGACAGACTAGCTTTAATTACTTTGCCAGCATAAATCCGCATTTAATGTACAAGGATACATCCCTAAAAAAGCCAACGAGTTCATTTATCTCGGAGTGACGTTTGACACAAAACTAACATGGAAAAGCCACACTGATAAAACAGCAGAACGAGCATCCAATAGACTGAACGTATCGACGCGCCTCGGTGGTAGCATATGAGACACTGTGCACGCTCAATCCAAAACACCACTTACAAGATAAACCTAATTAGCTTGAACTCACAGTGACACTTTATGCTGTGATAACCTCGAGTTCCACTTAGAAGACCACCGTGGAATGTACACACTACCAAAGCTGGCAAAAGAATTTTATGCGCATCAGAACACGCTGAAAAGTGCGGAGGACTATTGATCGAGAGGCGACCAAGTTTGAATGCGAGTACAGAGGTTTCCAAGGCAAACAGCATTCAATATTCGCCAAACATAGTAACGTTGATCACATTTAATGACCACAAAGTTATAATAACCCCCCCCCCTCCTCCCTCACACTACTTTCTGTAGTCTTGGTGTATTGAAAGTAGCCTAGCTACCTTAGATGACAGATTCCTAGTAGTTGCAGTTGTCTACAGCTAATGGGAATTCTATGAGGATTGCCAAAATGGGTATTTGTGTATTATACGTTACAAACTCCATTTCAAAAGGAGCTATGTCAAAATGGGAAATACTTCTAAATGCAGGCGAAGGTAAACAAAGAAATTACACATACAATAAACCTAGCCCAAATAATTGAGTCTTCGAAAGACTCCCAAAAAATTATATTCGATTGTAGCAGTAAAGTTAAAAAACTTTCCACCCAGCAACAATAATGCTTTTCGGCTAGCATAATAATAATATGCTAAATAAATTAAGTGGGTAAAGGAGAAACTCACAAGTCCTCGACATGGACGTCTTTGAGAAATTGACAGTAGTCAGCATTCCAGACAGCTTGATCGTCGAGTACTTTGGAAGCAATGAGAATACAGGCCAACAACTGACGACGCCATGACCACGCAACCACATGCATCTCCAGACTGCTAATGAGACGTTCCAAATACATCTTGAATGAAGACAAAAAAATCAGACTTAGTAGGCTCGTAAAATTCATTACATTTCCACTTTCTGATCCAGAGGTCAGTATCTATCGGTACACAACCAGTGATGTGAGTGCCGTTCAATTAAAATGGTCCATTGAATGAAATTTATCAAAAGAACAATTCCAGGATAGCTTCCCTTTAAGACAAATGTGAATATTCTGGTGGGCTTGGGAAGTTTCGCAAGGAGACGCTAGTTTAATTGATTACTAGATCAATATTAGATAAAATAAGACATTTTGCAAGCATGAAGATGGATGACCAGCAATCACCCAAAATTGAAAACTTGTCCAGTTTGGGTAGATATTTCAATTTCAACTATCAAGCAAAGAAGAATTGAGATAGAAGCATCTAGTAAAACTTTTTCACTTGCATCCTTCAAAGTTAAAATCAACCCATTCAAATATAACAAGACCAGAAATTCTTAAAAATTCAGATGAAAATGAATAGAATTTCGTTTTCTCTGATACCTCTAACGTGTAAAATCGAACACCTGTCATCTCCTGTACGCCTGGAATGTCAATTACTAATGATAAAAGTAATATCAAAGCAAATGCATTTCCTCCGACCAGCAGTGGTAAACAAATATCACCTGCTATTAGATCAATTAAAAATTAATAGAAAAATGTTAATTCATTAAACTAAATGCACCTACATTTCAATGCATCAAAGCAAGAAGTAACTAGTCGTTGTTTCCTGTTTATAACCAGTTGATCGGTTAGAAAAAGTACTAAGAAGTAAAATTTGTGAACACCTTCAACGTATATCATAATCGAAATAATCGAAAATGGAACTTACGAGAGAAACAATTGCACTTTCAGCCGTAAGGAGAGAAGATGCGAAAAGCCGATTGAGGAAATAGAGAATTTGATGTTGGAAACGTAATTCAGCATAAGGACAATTGTTCGAAGAAAAGTGAGAATCCAAACGGCAATGGGAAGACATTGACTAAATTGAAAGAACAGAATTAATCGAAGTTGACTTATAAAATAGTTATATTTTAGAGGGGTTATTGATATGAGGGAGTTAGAAACTGCATAAACTCACTTGAAAATAATCTCTTAATAAATAAAGACAAAAAATTAAAAATGGAACGTGTCATGAACGAATAATAAAAAGCATTTTACACGCAAAGCTTACAAATAACGGATGCACTCTTTCATCAAAAATTTCATATACTTCTTTGTATATGTCCGAAGAAATAGAGCATTCGCTGCAAATGTCATGAGTCGATGTTAGGCTAGGGGATTGAACAGAAATATTGTACCCAATGAGAGGATCTTGATCGGATGAAGACGATGAATTGAACTGTTTTGGACTCTTCACCACTATCTCGGTCTTAATGAGTGAGCAGATTGCGATAGAAATGCAGTGTAAAATGGACTTGCAATCAGGTTTCGATAAACAACTTTCACCAATGTACACAGTCCCACAAGAACTCCAACGCTGCATTCCCCTCTTTCTCGCATGTTTTCTCCTCTTCTTTTTCGCAATAAAGAGCACCTTAATGAAATTTTCAGAAAATAAAATTACAAACGTACCCTCTGAAGCGGTGAACTCTGAGAAATGGAAGATAAAATCGAATGTAGGAATAAAGTTGTGTTAGAGGCGTTCAAAGAGGGATTGAAATCTAGATCTGCACAAAAATGTATTTAAAAAACATAATACCTTCAGGTTCACGTTCGCTAATGTGTTGCACCGAGGCCTCTAGAATTCGAGAGTTTGGCGTTTTTTGGCAGTTGGGTGATAGATGCTCATAGGTACCATCGAATAAATTCAAAGGTTGATGAACTGTTGCGGCGACAGGTAGGAAATAAGCTCCGTGGTTTGTAAACTGAAAACGGGACTGAAAATCCGCAGAAGGTATGTCGTCCTCTGAGTTCGTAAAGCTCGTCCAAGACAAGCGGCAGCAAATAAGACGATTACCCATATTGAACCAAATAAAATTTTATGACGAATGTAACATCCAAAGCGCCATGGGTGTTGAAGGGGGAAAACCGCTAATACAACGATTCAAGACAGGCAACCCACAACGACCCAGGTACTCAAAATAGGTTTTCTCCATGTCTGATAATTTGACCTTACAATTAATAATTTAAAAGAGTTCAAAATTAATTCTTAATCGAGATGAATTAACATAGGAAAACTAAATTAAAAATATTGGCATATTTACCCAGATTATGAAATAAATATAGGACAATCTGTTAATTTACTGCAAGCATATTGAGTACAAACCAACAAATACCGTTGAATAAATATAATTTAAATAAATTAAAAATATATTTAATGAGCAATGAATGTTAAATGGTATAGTACCTTGATCTATGTAAGCATCAAGATGCAATAGACCACAAGTATATTTTGATCATGTCCAAAATGCGAACACCGATTAAAGTATCAAATCGCATATGAGGTATTAATATTATTTATTTCTCAAGTGACAGAAAACTCAACTGCCTAACTAATTAACTCTCAAAATTTAGAGTATTAGGGAAAACAATTTTTCGAATGAACTTATTTAGAATACACTTACTGTTTTATTGTCACTCACCGTACTAAATACAGCTCAAATACCACAATTTTATTGCTTTGGTAAAAATATAATTCCTAAAATAACACGACTTATCTTTGAATAATGTGCAGTAATCTTCAATGACAAGATCTCCTTGTCAGGAATGGTGTCTCGAACAAGCTACCTTATTTCAACAATATAGATGAAATAGAAACATGCTGTGGAATATCTCCATGTGTGTTGTTCGGTCAACTTTTCCTAAAATGAAACAATGGTTAAAAGAAGTAATGCTGATATCGTTATAAAACAATGAAAGAAT